CTGTCATCAAACAAAGGCCCACCGGTTGTTATACGCAAATTGGTTCCGTAGATATCATCTGGTGGAGTATTACTACCTGAAAAGCTGGATGCATGGCAAAAAGGAGGACTGCCACTGTCCAAGTTCCCAATGTGAGCTTTTTTGCTCTCTTTCAGGTTCGAACGCAAACTACTACAGCTGAACGCGCCTCCGATTTGGAGACGTTCGCCTCTAAATTCGCCAGGCAAGAGCTTGCCGTTCAGAGGAGACAACAGCCTCTTTCTGATCAATGAACTTGAATTCTCATTCGATGTGCCGTTTCCAAAAGCCAGGCTTTCGCGTTGTCTGTTTTGGCCCTCGCTCGGCTCAAAACCAACAATTCTTGAAACCGGGGTGTGAATATGTTTTCCGCCATTTTGCGCCGAAAGGCAGTTCATATCTACAGAATCGATTCTCAATTTATGCATATTTGCAACACCGTCCTTATGCAAACCGATGAAATCAGATTCTTGTGTGTGTCTTTCTCTCAGCCCTCCAAATAGAGAGGGTTCTTGAATCAATGCAGATGTAGTGACTTCTTCGGATAAATTTCCCCGTGAAATTTGAGGCAAACCCATGCTATAAAATTAGCAAATAATTTATTTTTATTTCGTCTCACGAATTACAACTCAAAGCACAAAAGTACCACCCCAGGGTTATTCCAACAATCAATTAGGTGAACTTATGAACTGGCCTTACTTTTTTCACAGAAAGTTTATCAAGATCATACGCTGACCTAATGGGGTTTCGTATTGAATTATGTTTCAAATTTTCAAGAAACATGAATGCTACCCTTCATTTTGTAACACGGACAAAGTGCTGTCTGTCCATCATTGCACATAGGGAACATATTCCACCTAGAGATCCTATAGAGAAGCCAGCAGCCAAACTGAAACACAGTGTAGAAAAATAAGCAGAAAATGTCGCATAACAAGCATCGCCTTCTCGGTAGTACAATGACAAAATCCAATTAATCATTTATTCAGCCGGCAACATAGCTATCCGTCCTGGCAAAACAATAAACCCAGATTGTTGGTTATCATGCTAGTAGCTAAAATAAAAAATAAACAGTAAACACACACACACACACACACACACAAACACACACAAAGTGCAGTATCACTACCAAACAATTCCAATTAATTTTTTTTTTTCCAGTATTAAAAGAGGGTTCTTGATCATGAGCAAGCTCATCTGATCAACTAACAGCAATTTTTGTAGTAAGATACATCCAATTGGAACCTCAAAACAAATTATAGTTACAGAGATAGGATCATTTCCAAATCCAAGAAGATTAAGAAGAAACAGAAATAAAAAGGCAGGCCAACCTAATTCAGATAAAAGTATCATCTTGACTTCTAATTACCACCAAAATTTATCTTACATAGTAAACTCGCTGCAAATGAAAAAAAAAAAAAAAATAGAAGAAAAAGAAAAGGCATAAAACCATAGAATCAGTCCCACAGAAAATCGCCTCAAAATCCGGAGCAACTGGTGAGATAAGAATCAAAAGTCACCCACACTTGACATCAATGAATAAGAAAAATGAAAAGATTAAATACATCCAGTGAAGAACTTCTGTCTGATAATCAATCTATCCGAAAATACAAGAATTTACCAGCATTAACTTCTTTTTTTTTTTTCACGTACATATAGCTGATTTTGTTTATTTAGGGATTGCGTTTAATAAATTATGCTAGCGGCTCCTCGCATTTCTATGCTTCTCTTTTATCTATGATTTTATCTATGATGTCTCTTTTCTGGTTGGGTGATAGGGGTGAGCGTGGGTCGGTACTATTCATTCGAAGATTGATAAATTTCTGAAACAGTATCAAAATTTGAAGATCCCAAAATTTGATCTCTCGAATCGTATCAAAAAGTTGGTTCGGTCGGTTTGGTTTGAAGATTTTTATTTTTTGGTTCTGTTCGGTTCGATTCGGTATTCGGGACTATTGGCACAGTTCAGTTCGTATCGTTTGGATCAAATCTCGGAGATTTCTTATTTTTTATTTTTTTTAATAGATACCTAGTTATATTTTAATTTTTATATGCTTTAAAAAAACAACATTCATCAATAATTCATCATATTGAATATTTTATTTTGAAATCTATTTTAGAAATAACTCTCAATTGTTTAATTTTTATATGTTTTAATAAAACCAGCATTCATCAATACTTCCCCATATCAAAGACTTTATTTTGAAATCAACTTTAGAAGTAACTCTAAATTTTAGTTAAGACTGAATTTGTACAACTAGTATTGAAAATTTAAAATTCAAACAAAATATAATATTTTTTTCTTAAAAAAATATTCTTTAACCTTTCATATTAGTTTATATAACTATTTTATAATAGAAAAAATTCAATTGTAGATCAAGTATTATTAAGCATGAAATTTATGTGAATGTATTAGTTATTACTATATTATATAAAATCAAAGTTGACATATAATATATTTTTAACACATCTAATGTTATAATTCGGTTCTTCGGTTCGGTACGGTATGAGACTGTTCGGTTCAGTTCTCGGTACGGATATTTGTAAAATCTCCAGAATCGTACCAATTATTTTTCGGTTTGGTTCGGAGAAAGTCAAACGGTCAACTGTTATTTTTCGGTTCGGAATTCTCCAAGTCTCATGCTCAACCCTAGTTATAAGTAATATTTGAGAGCTTTTTTCAAGAATTTCAAGTTTTCAACCCACTTTGGGGAAATTGTCGGTAACTTGGTTTTTTTTTATAGATACATATGAAAAAAAAGGTACTTACAATCAGCTACTACCCGAAAAATGGAGGCCTACCGTCAGGTGGTAGCCTAAAACACAAAACACTACAAACACCACACAAAAACTAAAAGCTCCACTAATGGAGAATACACGCTCCCCGACGGAAGAATACACTTGTTGATACCCAATTTGGCCACGATTAATAAAAATGCGCCACGTGTAAAAATAAACGAGAGTTAAAATATGTAATAAATAAATATACAAATAGCATGTTTTCGGAACCAATCTGGAACTGACCGAGCTACAGTAATCGAGCTCTTCCATTTTCGAGCCGAGCGGAGTTTAAACTGATCGACCGACCTGAGTCACGCAAGAAATTTGACTCCCGCGGACGTCGTCGACAAGATAAAATGTTAGTCGTGGCCGTCAGTCGTAATTACTGGACCCTACGCGGTCATATCTTATTTATTACACTTGTATTATTATATTGTAAAAAGCCACTTGTTAGCCCATATAAAAGGAGGCCCTCAATTATTGAGGGGGGCTCTCTCATTGGGATAAGGAATGAAAAAGCAAAAAGGGGAGAGAGGATTTTATCTCTAAAAAAAACAATAAAAATACACATTCATCCAATATTTTGATTGGCTATTTTTTCATCCAAGATTTTGGTTGGCTATAAAAATACACATTCATCGCCCACCATGTCAATCATTGCGAGATCGGGACCACTCGAGGAGGTAGAGACGAGAGAATTCACAGCCACACCGTGGGCCCAGGAAGAGTCAGATGCTCGCCGGAAGGAGGGGTTCACACAGGGGTGACGATCGACTAGGGCAAGACGAGAGATTGGGGAATTTTTTCGCCAGAGGAGGGAGATTGCAAAATTAGGTTTCGATAATTAGATTTATATTGACATTTTGATTTTATGTATTATGATTCTAATATTTTTCTGTTAGTTGGACAGTTTTCATAATTGAAATAGGCATTAATTAAATAACTTTTACATAAAAATAATTATAAATAAAAAAAATAAAAAATCCTATTTTATTTTCAAAAATGTTTTTAAAAAATAAATTATTTTTATATATCTGATATAGCCAGTAATACAGCTAGATAAAATTATTAGCTCGGTAAGGCCTGTTCTGTTAGCTCGAAGGGTGTCTTGGCCGGAATTGTTGACCCCAGGTTGCCGTAAGTCGCGTGTCTCAATGCTATTGAGCTTGACCAAGCAGGTCTCATGCTACTTGAGGCTACCGAGATAATTAGCTCGGTAGAAGCACTGGTCAACCATTAAGGAGGTTTTTCTATTGAGACCAGAAGGTCTCACTTACATGTCCAAACATAGCTCGGCTAATAGTAAGTCGAGGGACCTGAAGAACATCAAAAGTGTGAACACAACAATATGAACACAACAATGGGATAAGGATGAATCTTGGGTAGCCCGTGGGCAGCCATTTGTACTTACGGGCAACACATGGGCAACAACAATACTTGGGCATCAAGGTTGTAAGGTAACTACAATATAAAGAGATGTAATGTCTGATTAAATACTTTTTCTTCCTCATCTAAAATAGTAAGCAATTATCACAATATCTCCCTCTTTTCGGTACGAACTTGGTCGGTGGAATACTGTATCGGGAACACCTCGTGACCCTTATTTTGCAGATAACCAGCTGCATTCCAGACATTCAGGTTACCAGACTTCTCATCCGGGAGATTAAGTAAAAATCGGTCACCTAAGAACTGGAGTTATTTGATAGATTTCTATCAAATTGGCGTCGTCTGTAGGAAAACTATATCTACCAAGGTTGAACAAGGACTGCATTTCACCACAACCTACACAAGGTTTTCACCTACATCAATGGCAGAATGAGAACCAGCTCAGGGAGAAAGAGGTGGCGAGGATGGGTTGCTGCAAACATGACCTAGGGGGTCAGGACCACCCATGGGGTGGCTTTCTAGCAAGAAGCCACCGAGAACCCCCATCACTGAGATACCGCATCTTCTGGGGATTTAAGATAGACATCTATCAGAGCTAAATAGGGAGGGTGGATCAGAGAACCCATCCCGTCATGGACATGGGTCACCGTTGCAGCTGGAAGTCATTGAGGGGAGTGGTAGAACTTTAGGTTGGACACAATACCTATTAATATAGAAGCCTGACCTTAGGCTCCTCAGGAGACACTCATTTTAGTCACACGAGCTGAGCTGGAAAAGATGATTGCGGGGGCAGAACTGTTATAGTTAAGTAGCATAATAAGCGAAGATGAGCCCCAGATTGGAGTTCAGACTTCTCATCTTTTCCACTCATCTGTGTCTTTCTTTGATAATATTTAAGGAGTTCTTTGAGCTTACTAAATTGAATTCCCACTTGATAATGAGATTTCTAAAGCAAATGGACCTCATCAAGGGAGCCGGTCATGGTCCCCTCAGTTGACACACCCGACCAGTTTCAATAACCTCGGAGGTCACAGTCTAACCTACAAAGCGACGCGGTATAATGAGGCAAAAAGACGACAAGCCATAGAGATCAATAAACTTACTTGTACTGACATCACAAACCCGCCAAGACAAAGCTCTCAAATGCATGGCTGCTCAACTACGCGAGCTCGAAGAATAGATTTAAAAGATACGCGGTTCTCAGCTTTATGGCCACTTGTTCGCTAATGATGTG